GCGCCGTATCGAAGTCCCTGCCCCGGCACCCTGCATCAAGACCTGGCCGTTGTTCCGTCGGATGCGGTTCCTCGACCTCGCGGTGCTCCGGCGAGGTTGCCGCCCCTCCCCTCCCCCACCCCCCCTGCTCGCCGTCAGCCCGCTGCATCGCGCTTTAGTTTAATTGGATCAGCGAAAGTTGTCCGATCGTAACTAAAATCAGGCGACTCACGTAAGCCCGAAATATGTGCAGCGAGGCGCGGGCACGGTGGCGGTAGCGCGTCTACCGTCCTATCGGCCCGCTTGGTAAACCACGGTTGGCCGAATCAAAAAGTGGGAAGTCTAACAGTGTGCTCGCGTCGCCACTTCGCACGCGGCGGAGCCTCTTTATTTACTGCAACCAGTGTGCTGCCCGGCCCGCGCCCCTTTAATGCCCATCAGCCTAGGCTCGCCTGGCCTGGCCTCGCCCCGACCCGACCCAATCTAAACATTCTCGCGAAACAAAGCGCAGCCTTTCTGCCCCATTTCTTTGCCCCCGCCCCTTTCCCGAAGCGCCTTTCCCCCGCCGAGGACTTATCCATTACACCAACACGTCGAGGAGAGGAGGCGATGTGAGCAGATACAGCCAGTTTGTTGAGCGATAGTTCGGAAGGTGCCCAAGTTTGCGAATAAAATCGGATCGGGCCGCATTTGGGATTCATGAGATATTGTGCTGTTTGCGGGCCATCTCTGTCCCCTCTATCTCCCTCTCCCTTCCTCTTTTCTCTCCCGCGCTCCCTTTTCTCTCTGTCCTTGTCTCTTCTCCCACGCCGGAGCGCAGGCTATCTCCAAATTTTTTCCTTCCCGCGCGAGGCTCTTCTCTGTCTCTCTCTTCACGTCGTTCCGCTTCGCTCCACCTCCGCCTAATGCGAAGTCTTCGGCTTACTCCTGCCCGGAGAGGGACGACCGGCGCAAGAAAGACCCGAAGCGCTGCCCGAAGCGCGCGGCCCGACGGGAAGAAGACCCAGTGCCATCCGTACGCCATGCGTATACGCAAAGCCGTAGCGGAAGCGCGGCATGAGTCGCCCCAGTGCACTCCGCCCGTCTGTGTGTGTGTGTGTGTGTGTGTGTGAGTGTGCGGCAAGACATAAAGCCATTCCCCTTCCGGTCCCTTTTGTAGCGAGATTAGCGGCCAGGAAATAGAAAATCTGAGGCACGCCCAGAATGTGTGTCCGTCCTTTGCTGCGCGACCCTCGCCCTGCCCGCCCGGCCGGAGTTCTCCAGACTGCCCCCCCCCCTCCCTCCCCTGGGCCGCCCCTAGCGTCCCGGGCCGGTCCGGGCCGGGCCGCCTCGAGAGCACTGCATCTGTCCAGGCCGCTTCAGGCCGGGATGGAGATAGGGCATGTGGCCGTGGCGAGTGGCGTTGCCTGGAGTGGACCCCCGGCATACGTGTCGTAACCCCCTCCCCTCCGGCACGCCCCCGGCACGCCCCTCCTTCCCTTTGAGCCTTCAACTTTACGACAAAGAAGAGCAATGTGCCCCGCCACGGAGACGTGCAATATCTCGCCGCGTTCCTCTCTGCGCGCGTTGCAAAAGTCGCGCGGCGGCGGTCTCGGTGGCGGAGGGCGTCGGGCCGTGCTGGGCCTGGCCGTGCTGGGCCTGGCCGTGCTGGGCCTGGCCGTGCTGGGCCTGGCCGTGCTGGGCCTGGCCGTGCTGGGCCTGGCCGTGCTGGGCCTGGCCGTGCTGGGCCTGGCCGTGCTGGGCCTGGCCGTGCTGGGCCTGGCCGTGCTGGGCCTGGCCGGGCCTGGCAGCCCTGCCAATCCGGCCGTCGTTCGTTCCGCCCGGCCGTCTGGCCTGGAGTGCCATCTCATCGCAATCATGACCCTTCGCGCGAGCTTTTGGCGCCTGCGCGATGGCCAGGCCCGCCACTCACCGCAGTTCGACGGGCTTGCCTACCTCCCGGGCGGCCCGCGCGCCTGTGAGGCAGGCAAGCCCGCCACGCACCTGTGTGCAACGGGCTTGCCCGCCTCACAGGCGTCTCACCACAAAACTGGAAAGTGGTGTGGCCCAGATGGTTTCCGCTCGTTCCAGCAGCGGACAGGCCGCTACCTCCGGTGCCGGGAAATGCCGGGGAAATTTAAAAAGCGCGGCCACGCGGCTCGCGCGCGCCGCGCCAGTTAAATTATGTTAATGACGCGTGTGACGACCGCTGTTGCAGCACGTCCCGCGCACATGTGGCCGCGTTCACACGTGCAGCTGGACCGCGGGCCGGGGCGGGGCGGGGCGGGGCGGGGCGGGGCGGGGCGGGCGCGCTGCAGAGGCATTTTTGATGATGGCTCTGTGTAATTAGAAAACGTCCCTCTCGCATAGAATGATTTCAGCCGCGCGGCAGGATGCATGCAAATTAACATTTCAGCAGCAGCTGTGCCGCGTAGAACTGCAAGGCGGGGCCGGGGGGAGGGGGAGGGAGAGGGGGGCTGCAGTGGCGAGCACGTGTTGGCGCCAGTCTGCCTAATAAAAGAGAGGGAGGGACTTCGGCGACCGTTTTGGGCACACGGCGGCGGCACGGCGGCACGGCGGTGCAAGTCCCGTGTCCGCGTCGTCGGCGTCGTCAGCGGCCTGCTGGCCGGGAGGACGTCCTGCCCCGCCCCGACGCGGGCGTGGCGGCGAGGCGGCGAGGCGCGCGGGGAAGGGTGCAGCGTGCGACCGAGGAGCTTAGGCGGCCCCCACAGGGAGGGCCGGGGTGGCGAGGCCGTGGCGAGGCCGTGGCGAGGCGACTCCCAGGCGGGATTTCCGGCGCGGTTTCTGCGGCCGGGCCGGCGGGAAGGCTGGGGGGCTGCGGGGGCTGCGGGGGCTGCGGGGGCTCAGCGCGGCCCCGATCGGACCGGCGTACCCATTTCCCTGGCACCTGCTTCCGAAATGAAACACCTCGACATCGCCAAAATTGAAATTCGCCGAAGCCAGCCCGGAGTCGCACTGAAATTCCACGAACTGTTTTTCCCGAGCGTTCCGAGGTCGCCTCCTTCCTTCTGCGGCTCTGCGCCGCCTGTGAAGTTGCCTCCGGGGAGAGAGGCCTCTGAGGCTCGAATTTGAGCTCCGGAAGCCGTCAAAAGAGACAGGTGCTGCCGTCTGCCGGCCCGCCGAGCGAACTGCAAGTCAATTTGCAAGAGGTTCGATTCGTCCGGGCAGTGAAAAGGAGGGGGGGGGGGCTCGCTGTGTTACAAGGTCGGCGAAAGTGGGCTTCGCAGGGAAGACGGAATATAGAGGGGAGAATGAGGGAAGAAGATTAGCTGGATTACGGGCCAGGGAAATTAGGCTGGGCTTTCTCTGGGCAGCTTATTGCGAGGTACCTCGCCAGCCTAGCCAGCCAACCCTTCTCCGTCCGTGGATCAACGTGCCACAAATGTCTTGCGAGAGAGAGAAGCCGGATCAGGGAATCGTCTCTGTTAAAATTAGTTTTTTTTTTCGTTGGGAATTCCAGCCACTTGAAACAGCGCAGCATCCCGTACTTAAAGTCATACCCCACCCCCTCCGTGAAAAAGAATAAGAAGAGTAAGATGTTTCTCCCATTTTTTTTTGGCCACTTATTTTTATTTCGGTACGCTTAAGTGAACTTTCACGCTGTAGTATTTGTATTCAATCACTTCCGTTCCTGTTAGGTTGCCTCCCCTTTTTTCTTTCTCCAAACACGCGCGCATGCCGTCCCGCAACGCCGTTGCATTCAGCACGCATCTGATTACGCTGTTTTATCTCATTTTCCCTCCCCCCACCCCGCCCCCTTCGCTTGCTTCGCTCTGAACCGGTGTATGCAATTTCGGTCCGGTCGCAGGTGCGCCTCGCCTTCCGATATTACCCGGGGGAAGGCCTCCCGGCCCCGCCTCGCCCGGCCTCGACTTGCAGTGCAGGGGGACGGGCTGCGTCCCGGAGAATGACCCCCACACACTCGCGTGTCTTCGGCACCCCATTTTTGACGGTGTTTCTGGTTTCTGGCGCACCGGTTTCAAATTTTATTTTTTGAGCCAAGTATAAAGTGGTCTTCTGGCGAGGCCCAGATTGGAGTACGTCGCACTGCAGCAACTTCGTAATGACTCCTGACAGTGTCAGCCGAATGTGAGCTGGTCGACCATTTTTGTCGAAAAAGGCAGTGTTTTTTTTCGTGTTCGGGGGGCAAAAATTTGAAATGGCCCATATTGGAGTGGAAGAGTTTCTCGTCTTCCGGGCGTTCTGTTGCAGCCACAACTCAGCGTGTCGATGCCGCCTCGCCGCGCGAGGAGGGCTTTCAGCCGCATCAAGTTCGCCGATGTGGAGCACGCCCGCGGAACGCCCGCGGAACGCCCGCGGAACGCCCGCGGAACGCCCGGCCCGCTGACAAACGGCCAAACGGCGGGGCGGGGCGGGGCGAGTTATTCGCGCACATTCGGAACGAAGCAGGCGCGCAACGCCTCTGACGCCTCCATGCGCGAATGCAGCTCAAAGGCATCCGCCAAAGGCAAGCCAGCCTAGGGCTGACTCTCTCTCTGTCTGTCTCTCTCGCACACCGGGCGCCAATGCCGGGTGCCCCACGAGAGCGAGAGAGACAGCGCGACGGCTCCGTAAATCAAACGCGGTGACACCGCGGACTCGTCCCGCGGCCCTGCCAAAGTGGCCATTCCCTGGCCGTGCTCATGATGGAGTAGCTCGCGGTGCGGCCGGCGGCGCGGCGGCGTCCTGGCAGCCAAGGTGGACACGTTTGTTTGCCCCCGTCGCCCAACGCACCACAGTGAAAGACGGTTGCTATGCCGTTGTTGTCCGCATCTAATCTGCTTGAGTTATTCCCAGCCAAACGCATGTCACCGACACATCGTGAGATTGCTTTTTGTTTTCCTGACTGCCGCGTCTTAGCATTGATATTTGTTGAGTCGAGAAGTAGTCTCGGCAAACACTCTTCTTGATTGAGGATTCACCTCCCCTTTGTTCTACTGAGCAGTGTATTTGGTGGTGCTAATCTGAGGTTTTTGTCGAAAAAAAATAAAAATGCAAGGAAGTATTCTTTTTACATAATATATATCTTTGGTCTTTTATTTACAATACAAAAGTTTTTTTAACAACAAGTGCTTTGAAACACATAAAGAGAGCTGGCAATCAGCACAAGGCTTAGAATATTGGCCATTTAAAAAAAAAAAAAAACAATGAGGCGGTTACCGTCACAGAAAGAAATACCAGTTCAGGCCATCAATGAAATCATAGCTTCTACAGCAAAACATGTTATTGTTTATGGAGCTCTGGCAAACAAGACGAAGACGGTAGAACACTAACGATTAATAAAATGTATTAATTCATCCTTTCAAACACACATTAATTTCAATTAAATTTACGCACATCAACTATTAAAAAGAAGTTTTTTTGTCTAACTAGAGAGTAAATTACTTCTCGGTCTCATTAAAACAAGGAGCCGTGGCTATCAAAGCACACGGTCTCTGGGATCGGTTGTCACACTAATAGTACACAAGTACATAAATAATCAGTCTCAAAATTGTAAACGCTATGTGCGATTAACTCAACATATAACAGGTACCACTTCAACCTTGAGTACTCCAGTGCAATGCGTTAGTCATAGTGTGCAATCCAGTTTGTTGTGTGCGGGTTTCTTTCCATTTCTTGAAAATTGGCGGCCTACAATCAGTGTTTTTATGTATGTACAACCATTTTTTTATCACATCATAACTACTGTCGAACAGGTAACATAACAACGTAGTTCTCGTGTTTCGCATCACAATTAATGCCTTGGCATAACAACGGGAACAAAAATTTGCGTTCTTGTCGAATCTTCCATCATCATAAGATCAGCTATCAAATAAAAACATGACTAGTGAGATGAGTAGATTATTGGGTGGGTGATTTAGTTTGGGCGGCGTAGTCTTCCATTCAAAGAGTTAAAACACAAGAAAATAAAAAATAAATAACATAGTATGTTTTTTTTTCACTCTGTGTGAAAACAAAGGAACACTTTTGACTATGCAATATACATTTTTGTGAAGTTGTACAAAAATAGTCACCTTTCATTTGACTAACTCACTAACCATTCAGATAGAAGAAAACATATAAATGCAGCGGTCCGATTTTTAATCTCGGCAAAATATTAAAGGGGCAGAACGCAAATTAACATCAAGTGGGCACTTCCTTAGGTTTAGGCAAATACTGCTTCGTCGTACATTAATTCGTCACACAGAGTGACACCCGTTACAACAAGAGGATCGGATACAAAAGGGTCAACCCCGACCAGAGCACGCTGAGGCGCTTCGCCGGGGGCTCTTCGCAAAATCACAAAAATCCATACCGGGGATTGGTAAGTCACTTCACTAAGCGTCCTTTTTTTAGCACCAAGGGCGACACTCGGAGAGCGTCACTGTCTTGACCACCACCACCGCGACCACGCACTAGATGCAGCTCTCCTGGATCCGGTTGGACGTGGTGATGGGCTCGTGGTGCGCCAGCGTCGCCTTGGTTGACCCGTTCATCATGAGCCTCTCCATGGCGTGCACCGGGTTGAGCGGCGAGCAGGCCGTCACCCCCTTGTGGGCGATGGAGTTGTTGCTGTGGCTGAAGCTGTTTGCAGTCGGAATGTATATCTGGAAAAGACGACGTCACGGATGAGCACAGAGGGCCCGGAGAGCCGCAGTGACTGACACACAGAATGCTCGGCGAAGTCCCTTTCCGCAAGCAGAACGGGGACCTTGGCTGTTCCGCCCGCGGCGGCAGTGTTTAGCCGAACTTTGGAAAAAGGTTGGCGGAACAGGCCGTGCAAACAAGCACAACTTACATTGTGGCCCGAGTCCTTGGGCGGGTGGGGGAGGGTGGCGTGGCCGGACACGGCCATCATGGGCGGCGTGCTGTGCAGGACGGGCGTCGAGCCCCGGTGGTTGGTCAGGGGCTCCTCGGCCTCCTTGTCGTCGTCCTCCACGTCGTCCACGCCGTCGTCCGCCCGGTTCCGTCTCCGCCTCTGCGGCGGCGTCCTGTGCATCTTCATGAACCCCCGCAGCGGCCGCCGCTCTGCAAAAAAAAAAAAAATGGTTAAAAAATTAAATTTTTGAGCAGAGTGGCGGAAGTTTTAAAACGGAAGGCCACCTGGGCCTTGCGCGGCACAGTCACAAACGGGAGGAATAAAAATGAAGCCTAGTGATAGGCTAGGTAAGAGGCCTCGCGGACTTGTTGCGACCTTGGCATCAATCCCCGGGCACGCCCTGCAGGGCCTGCTCCTGCTCTGCCCGCTCCGCGCTCCGCCCTGGAGGAACCGTTCGCCTGCCCCAGGCTTTCGCCGCTTGGGATTTGCCGCTCCAGACACCGGAGACGGCAGACCCGGCAGCCCGGAGTCAGATTTCCCTTCGCAAAGCCCTCGCGATGTCTTATTCCCCGCCGAATATTAAGAGTGAACCGTTCTTTCGCTCCACCCACTGTTCCCCCCTTTTTTTTTGAAACGGGCCAAAGGGCAAGGGCAGGGCGCGTGGCCCCACTGGAAAAGTCCCGACGCCCTGCCAAACATTTCGAAAAGAGGCTAGCTTTGCTTGTTTGTTGGGACATGTACGGCGTGCCAGCAGGATCAGCAGGTGCCCCTTGCTTACAAGTACGGGCGAGGCGGGCAGCCGCGGGCCACTGGGCCCCACCGCCGCCTAGGACAACCCTGGACAGCCCCGGGAAGCCCCGGACTCATTCCGCGCTTGATTGTCCACCCGGCGGGGCTGGCGGGCCGACTCACCGTGTTTGCTGGGGATGATGTCGGGGTCCGCGTCCTCGGGCGACACCACGGCCCCCGACGTGATGACGGGCCCGTTGGCGCCCGAGGGCGAGCGCACGATGAGCACCATGCGGCCCTCCGCGCCGCCGTTGGCGCCGCTCTGGTGGCCGTGGCCCTGGCCCTGGCCGCCCCGCCCAGACGCCTGCATCTGGTGCTTGAGGTCGGCGGGCGGCGTGCGCCGGCACACGTAGAGCGCCAGCACGGCGGACAGCCCGATGAGCAGCAGCGAGCAGCTGATGGCCACCAGCACCATGAGCACGGGGCTCAGCCCGGAGCTCACCACGGGGCCTGCAACAAAAAGCACGAGCATCAGCGACGAGAACGAGCGCGCGGTCCAGGTGCGCGCATTTTCGGCGCGAGGAGCCGGTTACAGTGTGCCAGTTATGAGGCCCAAAGTTTGGCACTTGCCGTCCCCGTCCCCCGGCCTGACTGTCGCTACGCACGGCGGCAGTTGGGTCCTCAGAGGCCGGCCGGCCGGCCGGCGGCCGGAGGAGGAGGAGGCCGAAGAAAAGATTGTGCTTGGCCTGGGCAGGGCGGCAGGGCGGCAGGGCCGTGGGGGTCACGCGGCTTGATGGATCGGCCGGCAAAGTGACCGTGACTACGACCGTGTCACGGCACTCGATCATCGGCACGGGATGAACCTCTGGGAGGAGAAGTTAAGCGGAAGTGGGGAATTACAGTGGCGGGGCGCGAGGAGACCCGTCGCCTCCTGGCCGCTCACGCCTCATCTCGCCGAGCAAACAGAGCGCTGCTCGCGAAACGCCAAACGGAAAAGAAATAAAACTCGGAGAGTGTGAGCGTTCGAACCCACGACGCTGTCGTCGTCAGAGACCCGCGCAAGCTTCGAGAATCAGACTCTGACTCCGCTCGCCAACTGTGCCAACGCAACAGAATTCCGCAGCCCCTCAAAATTTGAATTTTTTAAAAGTTGGCGGCCACTCGCTCTGACGATGGCCGACCTGAGTCGCCGCCGAGGACAAATATTGACCGACACCCCGAGAATCACGGGGTGCGTGAGGCGGCCCTGCCTCCTCCCCGGGAACCCAAAGCCAAAGTTGCGAACATATTGAGGAAATGAGGTTACCCAGAAAACGCGCGCGCCACCAAAACTTTCTCTTCCGACTGACATTTTTCTCTCTCGCGAACGGCGCGAGCGAACGAGCGGAAAAATGGGATTAGCAGTGGTGGGCTCGGGCGACAGTTACACCTCGGCGGCGGCAGCGAGGCCGCGCCGCGCCGCGCCGCGCCGCGAGGATGACGAGTCGGAATAAAAGACAGGTGCGGCCCCTCCGGGATCTCCATCCACCAGCCGGCCTGGAGTCCGCGTCCGAGACTTCACCTTCGCCTCTCTCGCGCCTCCGCGCGACGCCTTATGCGTGCGAGGGAGAAGCGTGATGGACGCCGTGGCACTTCCTGGAGTCGCGCCGCTGCGATGTCCATTTGCTCGTCAATCGCACGAGGCCGGCGCCCTCCGTCTCTCTCGCACTCACGCCGCGTCCCGCAGGCCGCGGGGTGCGAGAGAGACGGAGCGGCGAAGCGCGGCGCGGAATCGGACCGACGCGCTCGCTCGGATGGAAATGGCGCGGCGCCGCCATGACGCGCCACTATCAGAACGGGGCAGAAATGATTGCTTGTTTAAATGGATTGGTTCCGTCCTCCAGTGCGGCCGCGAGGACCGGCAGGGCCGCCAGTGGAGGGGAAGTGGCGGTGCTACAGGTCCTCGGTGACACCGCAAGTTTTCAGCGTCGTTAACCCGGCGAGGGCTTCGCGCTCCGCGCCACGCTCCGCCCCCTCTTCCCGACCATCGGCTCTAATCTTTATCGGCGACCGACGCCGTGCTGGCTGGCTGCTCGGGCGGGGCGGCGGCGGGGCGGCGGCCAGCCCCCGGAATCGGGCCAGAGTCATCACTTTATGACGCGTTGCCCACAACTCAGAGAAACACACCCCGCCGGTCCAGCGCCTCGCGGCGAGGACCTTCGCTCCGTCCCTCTCGCACTCACGGCACCGCAGGCAGGGCCGGGAAGGGCCGAGGGGGTGCGAGAGAGACAGCCTGCTGGGGTGTGGCGCTCAATAAAGTATCGTCCGCTTGGCCGCGGCGCCAACGAGGAGCAAGGAGCGGCAATGGAGAAGGTGGTCCGGGCTTGCGCAAAGACCGCCAAAGCGCGCTTCCGCCAAATTCCGAACCAAGCCACTCTTCGGCCTGTGGCGGCGGCCTTTGGCAGACGAAGCCCCTGCCGCTAGGCACACTGGGCACACTCGCCGTGCAGGCCAATCACTTCCTTACCTCTCGGCGGCACATTCCGCGGGCATCATCACCGCGAGAGCAAAAAAGCGAGGCCTTGGGCGAAGCGAGGTGAAGCCCCCCCACGACGGGGCCACGGCGGCGCGGCCGGGCCCAGGGCACTGATTCCGCCGGCGGCTGTTGTCATGGCCTCCAAAGCGCCGCCCTATGTCACTGCTTCGCCCGCCTCGCTCGCATACCAGCCCCGACGCGAGGGGGTAGGGAAGGGAGCCCATCCTCTCCAAGACCCCCTCCAAGCTGCTCTCCCCAAGCCTTTGCTTCCGCCCCGCCCCTCCCCGCCAGATTCTCCCACATTCCGAGCACGTGCGTCTCAGAGGCTGGCGTAGTTGTTTCAATCTGCAGGGGAAGAATGTAAGGTGCGGAGCGTGTGGGGCGGGGTGGGGCAGGGCGGGGCGGGGCGGGGTGGGGCGGGGCGGGGTGGGGTGGGGTGGGGCGGGACGCTATCCGTAACGAAACACGTCCCGCCTCGTCGCAGCAGCAGGAGCTCGGTCATTCCCACTCGAAATCAAGTAGACTTTGTCGCCGACGGCGGGGAGGTCAGACCGCGAGGTCGCGGGGCGAAGCGGCGAGGCACTGTGCCAGCTTCGGCTTCAGCTTCGCGCGGAGCAGGAGCAGGAAGTCGCTCACCCCGCCACACTGTTCGACTGCCGCAGGTTGCCTGGGCGGGTCACGCCCCCACGCCGTACACGCCCTCTGCCTCCAAGACGCTCGCGTTGTAGTACGTCCGCATCAACTCCCCAACCATTACCCGCCACGCCCTGCCCCCCCCCCCTTCCCAGCGCCCCCCGTGTCGTCGATGTGCCGTGGCCGCCCCGCGCGCGACTTCGCCGTGACCCCCGACCCCTGGGATGGGGGCATTGCTCTGAATTAGGCCCGGGCCTTTCGCTGCTTTCGCTGCTTTCGCTGCCTTCGCAGACGCGCCTTTGCTGGTGTGACGGCAAGACGCTGCGTGTGCGTGCGTGCGGCCGGGGCGGGGCGGGGCGGGGCGGGGCGTACCGGGGCGTGCTGACTCCGCCCGGAAGGAGATTGTCGGCCGACTGGCCGACTGGCCGACGCGGTCCCCGGAGGCCGCCGCCGCCGCGTGCACAAGGCGTTTCAATCATCATTCTTCTCCGGCATTCCTTCACTCGGCGTTCTATCTCGCCGGCCTGCAGCCCGCTGCACTGCATGGCCGCGTCAGCGGCGCCGGGCGGCGCGGTTCGGCCAGGTCGCGGCGGGTCGGGGCGGCCGTGCCCCGATCGCCCCCACATCGGCCACCCGATGGCGGGCCCCGCTTTTTCCTCTCAGCCCTCGAGCGGCCCTCCTGGGACGTCCTCTCGGTCCTCTCGGTCCTCGTGAGCGCGGCATGGCGCTAGCAGGCGCTGCCCCGTCCCCTGGCCTGCCCCGCCCGGCCCGCCATAACACTAAAGGTCCGCTTCGGCGCGCGCTCTCGCTGGCGCCAGAGGGGCCACTGTATTGTTTTGCAGAGCCTTTCCGTGACTATCATCACCAAGCGATGCGAAGCGATGGCGGTGCATTTGGCGACAACGGCGAGCCGTTGCCGATATTGTCTGCGTGCATCTGTTTTGCATTTCGCTCCTCATATCGACGTGGCAGTGCGCCGCAGTGCGCGGGGTCGCCTTTTTGCCGGGACTGTACTGCGCGCTGGGACCCGGGGCTGTATCGCAAGGCCCTGATGAGAAGGCCCCAGGCCAGGCCAAAACTGTTACTTGGCTTCGCTGCTACAACAGCCAGCTCGCGTCGTTTACTACATCCAAGTCAATGGCTTTGAATCAATCAGCTAACCAAATGTCCTAAACAAAATCGGCAAACTTATGCTCCACTCGGGGAAACTTCCGGGAAAACCGCGGAAAGCACCGCCCCGACCTTCTCCAAGTTTCCCCCCGCCGCGCCCTCTCTGAATACCAAATATGAATATTGCGCATAAGGAAGACGCGTTCTATAAATTTCTCCCCGCGGACGGAAAGGGTCCATATTTATTGCACGTAGCATTCGCCGTAATACCGTTACAAGCCAAAGATGGATACGTATTATTCTCATATTTTATGCATGTTCCCTCGCACCTGCACTGCTAGGCCGCGCCCCGCAGCGTGGCCCCGGCCTCGGCCGCCCCGCGCGCCATCTTGAAAGGAAAACTTGACATCAGAGAGGCACTTTAGTATTTGCCCGGGCAAAATAGGCGGCATCATGCAGGCGCGCCGGGCTACGCCGGGCGTGCGGCGCGGGCCCCGGGGACGACGAGGACGCCGTCGAGGACACGGCCAGGCCGGCGCAAGCGGCGCCTCGCGACTTAGGGCACACCTTTTATTCAAGCCAAGCTCAAAGTTCAACAGTAACAAGATTCTTTCGCCATTCTTTTTTGTCTTCTTGTGTTCCGTTACTTATTTCTTTCGTGCTCCCACCACTCCGACCTGGTCGCGCTTCGGATCGCGCGCCGTCCCGAAATCGCATCCACCTGCGGTGTGTGTATATGTGTGTGAGTCAGTTTGCGTGTCTGCGTGAGCCAGTGTATGTGTGTGGCGAGGTCACGTGACACGAAATTGAAAGTCATTCGGCGCTGATGGCGAGCAGGGCGTCGTAACTTTGCCGTCGACACGCCGCCGCCCCGAGTTCGACGGCCGCGGACACGAATCCCTTCTGTCGCGGGTTCAAGTACCGCCAGAAGCCAGCATTTTTTTTTCGTTTCAAAATAACCACAGGTAAGATCTTCAGCTAAGGCGATTTTTAGTATTTCTTTGGTGGTTGATGTTTGGGAAGATATTTTTTCGTTCCTTCGCAGTGTCCTCGGGTCGGTGCCCCACCTTCGGGCCCTTCGGGTACCCCACCTGTGCGATACCGGCCTGCCCGGCCAAGTCGGGCGCATAAAGGGGTGCGGAATAAGCCAGCAATGGGCACATTACCGCTGCAGCCGCGGGCCGCCCCCCCCCCCCCCCCCCCCCCCCTGCAGGTGCGGCATTGCCGGGGGTGCTCGCACTGCTCGTGCGAC